GACTATTCTGTGTCTGATAGACACAGTCAAATAAATAATAGTCACTCAGCTGTAGCACCCTTTCGGTGCTTACCTGTCATAAAACTCGAAAGGAGCACAAAAGACTGCGAAGTCGCCCAAGCCTAGATAGGAGCACTCGAGATTCCGGGGTCAAGTTCCGGTCAGTAAAATTGCCCCTTAACCACTGAGCTATCTTCAGCCTGATGTACAAAGCCTGTATATTAGCACATCTTGGGTATGAGTAATCAGTGTTGTCATCTGCGTATGCTTTTGCCTCGGTGCTTAGTATTCTGGCACACTCATGACCCAGCACTCAATGCCCAGCGGGGAGAGTTCCAACTTACTTAGCCCCATGATCAGCAGCACCAAGACTACATCCATTTCAAATCAAAACATCCTGCTACTTTTTGCAAGAGGTCCCAAAAGATGTTGGGGCAAGATACCTCAGTCGTTGAGAGGGAACCCAAAGGGCCGTATAGTCTGAGTAGTATCAACCCCTCAGTGTTTTTCCATGACAATGGGGTCTCTGTCGAGTTCTCTAAGTCTTCTGAATATCGTTTTTTTAATATTGAAACACTTGGAACACTACTCTGGAAGCTCAGTCACCTCGAAAAATAATTACACATAAGTGTTGGTAATTTGCATGTGATTCTTCACAGTTCTGCCGGAAACACAGACAACCGAGGGCGTTTGGCGTCATTTCTCCCCTAGTATAAACCTTCAATAACAGGGACAGATGCGGAAAAACTCCAGGAAATATTGATTTTTTGTCGTAATCTTACGAAGTTTGGGCGAATCTGACCTGACCGCGTGTGGCGCAGTGTGAAGAACAACGAAATCAAACTAATCAGAGTGGCGCAATCGTACCAGGACGAATTCTGTTGAAAGAGCCTTTGGGTCCGTACTTCACCACAAGCCAGTTTTCGTTAGGGCAAGCTACTCTTTTTCGGTTGTACTCCGACTAGGTTCTCTGTAGATGCTTCGTTTGGTATGTGGCAACTCAGGTTCGCAACTTGAAAATGCGCTGATAGAGCTTGGTTGGGTTTCCACCCGTCCTTGTAAGTAAACACATAAGTCGCCGACATTTAGATGTTAAGCTCACCCCGTTTCTACGCTAGTCTTTTTTCGGTTTGTTACCAAGTTCTAATTTCTCTGCCCATCAGTTCACATGATATTTGCTAATGGATTCAGTGCAGCGGTGTAAAGCTAAAAACCTAGCTGATGGCCGCTGGAAATGTAGATTTTAGCATGGACGCCACGTGAGTGAACTGGCTCTCACGTGATCTACTGCGTAAAAAGATTTAAGGTATCTTTTCTAAACAAGGAACCTACTCAAGAGGCGCTGTCCACATGAGGAACCCGATCTCAATAAACTGAGTTGACTTGAGAAGAGAGGAAGTTTTGAAACAAAAATCGTGTAACTCTCAGTAAATAACGAAAACCACTCACTCCTTCGGTATGGATATGACGTTGCGTATTTTTGAGTATATAATGAGAAACTCACCTCTCTTCGAAGCTAGTACAGATGTTGAGCTTGTCGTTTACTTCATGCAAGGGCGATATACGTGTTCGGAATAGTGTTGGACGTTTAACGCAATTTCGGTTATATTTATATTTATATTTATATTTATCTCTGGCAGACCACAGTCAACTACAATAGAAATTATGTGGGTGGGCGAGACGAGTGAATAGGTTCCTAGGAGATCAAATCGCTCAAGACAGTGAACAAACCTGCCTTCTCAGGGTTGATGATATCGTTCGCCTCCAGTGATGACATTACAATCTTTCCAGCTCCATACCTAATTTGGCAGCAAATAACTAGTCTGTATTCGACTCACCACAAACATCAAAACATTATCCGTTGGCCAAGAAGAGGGAAAGTGTGTTGTCCTGCTGATGAGCATGAATACATAAAGTAAATGAGTTCCAACTGGTAAGGCCTATCAACAAGTTGATACTTATTTCTCTCAAGAGCTGTAACCACACTGATGGTTCGAATTATTTTAGACCATTTGTCTTCTTTTGATCAATTAGATGAGGGTAAGGATTGGAATATACGCCCATCCTCTAGCATGCTCAATGCGGAATTCAGTGGACGCATTACTCAGAATGTTGCTGAAAGCTTTCCGGTTTGACCTCTCTTGGGGCTTATCAGGTGGGCACAATACCCCAGTTTCCATCAGCCTGTTATCACAGTGATTAAACCAACTAAGGGTTATTTTGCTCGTAGTCATACCACTCTCGTCTGAACGGTCGTGTTCCCGTTCTGGCGTAATTATTCCCTTAGGTCCACACCAAAGGGAAGCACCAGACTCGAGTTTTGCTCTTATTAGAGCTCATCAGCAGTGCATATCCAGTGACCGTGCCGGGATTTGAACCCTGGACATCTGACGTGCGAGGCGAGCGTGTAACGACTACTCCACCGACGCACGTTGGACGCATCTGAATTATCACGTCTGAACAGGCGAACGTGTTCACACTTGAGTGATGTGAACTCGTCCTTTGAAGCCTCTTATCAGCTCCTTCATATACAGCAAGGGAGGACGTTTGAACTATTTGGCATAATACTTCGAACAATTCAGTTGACCACTTGTTGCCTCCAAACCGGAATGCCGGTCTTCAACAGAAAGGTGAACCCTCCTCAGCTTCAGAAGTGTCGCAGTATACATCTCTAATCAGAGGCCATCTTGCTCCTGAATCTGACGAGCTTCCACTGCTCCGTTCAATGTTGGCTTTCTTAGCCAGTACCTATCTAGCTTATCTGGGTCTTTCTGGGAGAGAGGCCGTTCCGGATAACTCGGGTGAGTCGATAAATGTACTTTTTTCAAGAGGGGTGCTCACAGTGAATGTGGTAACAGAGGTGTTAGTTTGACCTACCGTTGTAACAAGGCTTCTGGCATCACCGATCCTTCGGTGTCTTACGGCGGCGCGGGGATTCTTGAGCCATGAGCATCAAGTGGTATTTCGACCGGGTAGAGGATTCGTCGACCACCACTCCGTTATGCGTTAGAGCAACGCCATATGTACAGACGACCCACAATCTTGGTATTCCTTGACTTCAAGGATGCTTTCTGTCCGCAGCTACCTACTTCACCTCACTAAATCAGCGGTGATCGGAACTGTGGCAGTTACAACTACTGTATAATTATGCGGTTCTCACGTCTCAAATGCCGAACGTGATCACACTTGAGTGATGTGATTGGTGTGCCCGAACCATCGAGCGACGACCGAGTAACTGTCCTGGGTGTGACGATCGATTGACCCGCCAGTCAGGACTTTCAAGTCAGGTAGCGTGACACACGCTTGAAGCCCACTGGGCAACTTTTCGGTTGCAATTTCGGGGGTTTGCGGGATAGGAAATAGGGGTCAACTGGTAGTAAACATGTAGTGAGGACCTAGTCCAGCTGAATGACCGTCAGCAAAGTGGTGTAATGTCCAACAAAGCCAGGGCTGAATCACGCTGTCTTACTGCAGACATTTCAGCACCAGATGCAGATGAAGTTGACAAAACAATAATGATGCGAAATCCATTCAACCCATTAGGGAGATAAATCGGTTCACCCGGAAACGTATCTCACTAAACACCGTTGTTTGGAGGGAAGCTACATGACGAGAAGGACAGGCCAAAATTTAGGTGAATGAACTGAATGTATCCAAAGTGTATTTTAAACCTGAAATATTACTTTTGTTACATTCGCCTCGGGTTCGTGACTCGAGTAAAGAAACCCGAATGCCATATCTCACGCTACAGATGGGCTCCAGGTGCGACACACACTCAACAGCCCAAAAGCAACTCATAGACTGCATGCGGTTTATTAAGTTCTGTGCCAAACGTAGACTGCTCGGCTAAAACGTCTTTGGGGTCCACGCCAATTCAAATTTTCGAACAGTAACTGATGTCTGTATATTTGTAATGCACTAATCATAAGCTTGCTGCAAATTCGTCGACAGCCCACGAGCGGTTTCGCCCTTCTTGGGGCTCATCAGGTAGGCGCAGTCCCCGAGTTTCCGTCAACCTTATGTTCTACTTGAAACTGATATGGTACCTGATATTTTTTTAAAAAAAATTAGCTTCTTGGATTAGAGTAATTAACGGGGCATCCTGGCAGTCGGAGTTGTCAAGACAAAGGCCATTTTGTCGTCCCACGAAACTATCTACCAATTACTTGAGCCTGGTCAAACTATGCACAATAGAAGCTGAATGATTTTCATAGGTATTATGGACTTTGCATTCAAGCTGTTCCGACCAAGGCGGTCATTGTGGCTGGTGTACCCATTTCAGTTCTGTTCGGAGCTATTTGTTTCGTGAAACTTCGTGTGTAACGAATCACCTGGTCGCAGGTCACATAGAGTCAGTATGACTGCTTGTATCTGGGTGGGTGGGTGGTCTCCATTCGTTCAAATTATTTACCAAGAGTCATTCCTTCCAAGTGTCCCCAGCGAACAGATACAAAAGTTTCTTCTTTAAAGAACCAAGAAACAGTCAAGCCCGGTTTTTATCTCCAAGTATCTAAATGAATCAACTGATCCAATGAAGTGGGATTATGTAACCACATGAAACAGGCGGACTCAGCTCTCATGTAGAACAAGCTAAGTAATATCCAACCCAACCTGGTGATCTGTTGGGTGGACAGTTCTAACCGATAAAACTTGGTTTAATGGGGGACGAGAAGGCTCAGTGGTTAGAACACGAATTTACTGACCGGAAGGTCCGTCATTTGAGCCCGACCTCTGCCTCCCGACTTTTTCTGTCTAGACTTTGGCAACCTGGAGGTATCCCAGCCCTCGTGCTTCCTTCTGTTGGCATTGCAGTTTGACGCCGAAAGGGTGCTACAGCTGGTCTATTTCGACTTCGGTTTCATTTTCATGAGGAACACGAATTACAGGGTTACTGAAACCTCTTCGTCAGCAGCCCTTGAGCGGTATCCTCCATGAAAATATACCTTGATATCTGGATTACCGCACCAACTGAAACATGGGGTGGCCTTTGTGCAGCACATTTAGTCGAGAAATATCATAAACGAGAGATTCAGCTGAGATTCTTGTGATCCTCCCCCATGAAAACCCAAGTCATTTGCAAATGAGTACATTCGGCGAACGTTTGATTTTGTTTTCTACGGCCTCAGCACTGTTGTGTTGTGCGGTGGCCGAGCTATTGGTTGCGCCTGCGCTGAGCCTGCCAGACTACGCGATAAGGAGAAGACAGAAACTGGGGACACGGCTGTATTGCCAGGACAAAACATACAGAGAGTCTGCGTAAATGTATAGGATAACTAAATGGCCAAATATGGTCGTTCACTTGTTCGCTCAATACAGCCAATGGTGGTGCTCCGGTAGTGAACACTCTCAGGCCCACTACGCTGGTCGTCTGTTGCTAAGCCGTGTTTGGTGGGAGCCGGCGACTCACCTACTTTCCGGACGTGTCGTACCGATGGTGACCTTGGGGGTGCGTCACTCTCTGCACATGTGCTTTTTCTTCTGTCTGGGCCCGCCCTGACAGCACCCTAGTGTGTGCTTCAAGCGGTACAGGGCCCCTGAGGCAAATTATTGCGTTTTTAGTATAATCAGAATTCATCACATCATGCTTCTTAAGTAGAAATGTGCTGCAGTTACATACCTGTTGAGAATGGACAGCAGTCATCTGATGAGGCTCCATGGAGGTTCGTTCTCTCAACCTTCTGACAGCATTTGAACACTATATATATATATATATATATATATATATATATATATATNTCTCTCTAAAAATCAGCACCAAAGGATTGACGTGATGTGTCCAACTAATGACTGAACAGTGCTATATCCCGTTCAGACTAGTCAAGCTTCCGAGGAGCCATTCGTAACTGAATGCTATCAAGTTTAGTTACCAACCGGAAGGTCGTGAGTTCAAATAGGTCTACAATCCTGTGAGGTGCACATATCTGATATTTCCCAACATGGATGGGGCAGCTTTATGGTACATTTCAGTTTTTCTCCAGCAATTGTCTTAAAAGGGAACTTCAGTAGTAGAAACAACAAAAAATACCTGGTCCACACGCCGCGCTCGTTTGTAGGCAGGTAATCAGTATGAGCACTCAATGTGTTCCTCCTGACAGGAACTACCACACTCTATGTGGGTCGACTTTGGGCTTCTTAAGGCACCGTGTTAATGCGTGTCGTATGCACGAGGCTGAGGGAACTGACTACGGTTTTCAGCAGACAGCCTCATCCTTTTTCGTATTCCTACCCTTTCTGCAAACACGGTGACAAAATCTTCGGTGGAATAATATCATTATGGGTTAAGTGGAAGTTTACGTTGACACCAATAAATGACAACGTAATCTAAGCCTAAGGGATTGCTGAAGAGGACATATAATTGACGAATCAGTAAATAGCTGTTCCGCATGTACTAGGATGCAAGCTGTGGAGCAACAGGTTATCTGTAGTGGAAAGTCCAGAAGCTAGTTTCACAAACTACCAGTGTATGATGGTTGGGCTTGCATGAGACTGTTCAACTTCTGTAGCTGTGATTCTGTTGGATCCTTTAGTTGGACTAATGGCTGTTGCTCAATCTTAAGCATGCAAGGCAGGAAGCCACATATAGGTGCAGTGTAATCGGTCTTATGACAAGAAGAGCAATGTGTTTCCCTCATATCATGCAAGTTGGATACGTTAAAGGCAGGACGTGAGCCAACATCGGAAATCAATAATTACACGTTCAGTTGTCTCATTTTGGAGGGTCTTCCTCAGAAAAGGCAACCCTCAAAAGATAATAGTTTTGGCTGACCGTTTGGATATTCCACTGAACCTCAGGAGCCCAAGTTGACCACTCACAGCTCGAACCGTGGATCGGTTTTCCAGATAAATTTTAACCAAATATCTCCTACCCGTTTCCAGCTGATATCGAGAATTTGGGTTACAACCAACCTGGCCACTGTGTGTTCCTGCAGCCTGAAAAGCTTTATCGCGCAGAACAAGCAAAATTAACTGCTCAGTCCACCTTCGTGAGTTACTCTGTCCTACCTGCAGTCACAAGCGAGGAGGTGCAGATGAGGCCAGCTAGTGGCTGCACTGGTGTTCTGCTTGTTCGGATTTCGCCCAACATTACTGGATATTTTGTTACACTTAACATGAACTTCCTATTCGCCTGACTCGACTGAAGCTATGCTGTCCTGGAACTGGCTATGCGTGTTCACAATCACATTTACGGTACATCAGCATAGCACGACCAGCAGTTTGTCATCACTGAAGATCACTTCAGAGCCACCTAAGGACGGAATCATAGGAGCACTGAGACCCTCCGACAATTTATAAATCCATTTACGCGAATAACGAAACATGAGAATATTTTTCCGATGATACAGAATCACAACCGTGTGTGCGTGTTTAGGTCTGTCAGGGGGTCCATTTCAGAAAGGCTAAAACGTCGGGGGAAAACGCTAATTGAAAGGTGGACTTTGTTTGCAGTGGCAGTTGACCGACACAGCAAGATGTGTCTGCTCGTTACTAATCAGATTGCATAACTAACCAGTCATCGATCCTCAGGAAGGATTTAACAACAAAGGAGCACTGCGCTTTGTATCTGGCCGGATGTGAATCTTACGAACAGTCACATCAGTGGACGTATTCCGTTCAAGATCTATCCCATCAGTTTCCGTCGGACGAATCGCAACAAAGGAGAAAATCATCGTGTAGTCAAGACATTCGAAATGAAACGCTGTTTACATGCAAGTTTTAGTAAATATTGTACACAAGTGCTTCTATCTGCTCCAAGAATTTCAACAGGACACTGAAGGAAAGGAAAGTTGGTCAAGCAAAGCTAATGAGCTTGAGGTATTGCCCAAAGTCAGGTAAAAATATTTCCAGCTGCTTGGAAGTACAGTTTGGAACTTGCAGGCCACTTAGATAATCCTCAAAAAAATTCCGTAAGCCATTCAGATGGAATATTACACCACCAACACTAGCAAAAGCAGCCCTCCGAAAAATGCTACGGTTCTTCACTTGCTTCGCTCAACTGAACCCACATCTCAGAAGAGAATAACTCTGACTAGTTCTTCCATCGTAATCTGCTCTAATGGTTTAAACAAAACTCAGCTGAAAGGAACCCAATAGCCTGGGTGGATTGAACCAATGATACTCTTTGGTGAACCAAAATGAAGTAAATCAATATGTTACGAGGCAATGGACCTACAGCGAACAAGATCAATACCGTCCTAAATATTACGGTAGCTGGTGCGGCCAATTTTCCTTTTTTGGTGACTATGCTTTGGTATTTGCCCCAGCCACAACAGCTGTCGTTTTCTAGTCAACTTGTATCCTGAATATAAAAACGTTTTTAGCGGTCTTTTCGATTTATTAGCTGAGAAAGACCTTAGCTGTTCGTCAACTGAACCAAGCCAAATGTGTTTTTACCGAGTGACCTGAAATCATTAACAATATTAACAGTATGAGCAGCAGACAGCTTTAGATAGGATACTGTGTAAATATGGATTTATTGATTACAATGCCCTATTTGAAAGACAGCCACGAAGTCCGCTGGGCAAATGAAATCAATAGTCGCCGGGTAAGGTTAGTCTGTGTCTAGATCCGAAAAATCCAACTGAAAGGGTTGTCACTCCTACTCAGGGAATTATCGTGCAAACTGTTCGGAAAAGTTTGGCTAATTGCTGAGAGATATAATATCTAGCTTGGTCGGGTAAATTTGGGTTACATTGGTGGTGTTACTGCGTTCAAAAACCATACTACCACTCACTATGGAAAGGATTACTGGCAATTCTGTTATGGCCTTCCATACTTAACAATACACGAGTGGTAGCAGGTTCTCTGATCGTTTCCCGTGGTGGGCGTGCACTTGCCCACAGATAGTTTTTACTTGCAGGCGCTTTGGTTCGTTTATGAGTGGCCTTAAGTGGTCACATTCGCTAGGCAATTGATGTATGTCGGTTTTACATCCCAGATGTGTTTGCAGTCATTCAATCAAGTTGCTCTTGATCTGACATTTTTGCACTTACATTTCTCCAATCTGAGGATTTCATTGCCTGGGCTGTATAAAGATGCACTCTTTCTGGTAGCTGACACCGGACTATGAATGCTTTTATCAGAAGAATACAATTACATACATTGCCGAAGTTCTCGGATAGGGTGCCCGGAAAAAATTGAACAATTACTTGGTTCTGCACTGACCTTGAACGATGAAACCCGAAGTTTGTGGGGTTAAATCATAGAAGTTAGCGCATTACTCTCACTTTTAAACAAGTTTGGTTTTGCGAGAGACTCACCTGGAACCCAGCTGAATCTCTCGTGTGTGATGTTTCCAGATTTTCAAATTAGTTTGCAAATGAGTTTACTTCGCTAATTTCGTGCAATTTGGTTTCAAGTGGAACATGAGTTTGATCGAAACTCGAGGATTGCGCCTACCTGATAGCCCCAAGCTAGACGAAACCTGTCGTGGGTTGTCGAAGAGTTTTCAGAAACCTAATCAGTAGTGCATTACGAGTATAAATGAAGTGAGAAAATTTTTCAACCAGAGGTGTTAAAGGTAAATAAAGAGCGCTTTCAGAATAGAACTTTTTTAGCTTATCACCTTTAAGCAGAAGACTTTTTTGCATAACCGATGGTCCTGTTTGTTCGTCATTTGTCGCACCTGTGGTTCAACTGTTAAAATCGCCGATTGCTGTTTATCCGTTGGCTGAGTTTAGTAATTGGTTTTCACATGTTCCGTTGCCATTCTAGGAGATATCATTGATGCACTGTTCCAAGTATGTGGTTTTTTCCGGCATTTTACAAACCGTCAACATTTACCGAAGATGGTAACCTCAAAAACGAAGCAGAAAATGACGGTCAACTCCTTGACAAATGCTTCTTACTGCACCACGATTGGAAAACGGTGCCTTCTGAGAGGCTGGTTTTTCTCAGGTGTCACTTTACACTGAACATTGCTACGACTTCACTTTTTTGAAACCAGCGTCCACAGATGGAACCACACGAAACAAAAACAATTACTTATTGGTCTTTTAAAAATTTTCCCACAGTTTGTCACCCAGCTCCCAGGACAAATTTAACCTGGCTAATGTCCTCAGGTAATCTCTTCGGTGGAGCTACTTCAACCCTATCTGGCAGAGGAGTACTCAAGCATTTTATCCCCCACTTTTCACTGCGAAATCGGAACAACCAACAAAAGTTCATTTTCCACCTCGAAGAAAAATTAATGAATTTGACGAGTTAACTGAATGACGGTCATCAATATTTTTCTGTAACCTGAGTATCTGCACGTCATTTCCATCGCATTGCACGTGGGAAAACAACTACCAAGGAAACCCTCGTTTGGCAAAGCTACTGACTTTGGCTCCGAGCCGGTAAGATAAAACTTTCAAGCAATTGAATGAATAGCGCGGTGGGCCAAGGAAGTGATTTCACCCTATAGATGATTCAAACAAGCAAACCTCTGTGTATGAGACGTGTAAGTGCCCTTGACAGGTTTCGGAGATGTCCCGGCCACCCAGGCCAGCAGACCAAGCTCTTTGGTGTTTCTTCATGGCTGGATGTCTTGACCATCTACACGATTCGTCAATACGTTCGAGCATTTCTTGAAAGATACTTCAATCCTTTCACGTAAGACCCATCTAGGCTTTTCCTTATTTTAAAGCACATGATCTCTGTCTTTTTGTGACGACGAATTCGTTTTTCAATTCCAAAAGTATACGCAACAACTTGACAGTAGGTTAACTCCATAATTCAAATGGTACCTTCGGTGCATCACGTCCAAAATGCTTTATCGGAGAAACACGAATTAGTTGGTTTCTCGGTACTCTAGGCTTTAGATTAGTCGGTTTATGGTGAGTTGCTTGCATCAAAGAACACGTTCAGCCTGGAGTGTAACCGAAAAGTTCATGAAATGTGCTAATCAATATAGTCCACGGTGCTGGAATGACAACTGAATCACAGAATGGACCACGAATAAGGTGTTTACATGACGATCAGAAGTAACATATTTACACTCTATTGACATAAGATAGTTCCTCGAGTCGCGGACGAAAACCGCACATCAATTTCAAACTTATCTCGAAGCATGTTTGGAAAACTATTCTTTCATTTGCACCCTGTGTTTAGTCGCAAGCATTCGTTGCAAACTGTTCCAAACCGTTACGTTAAATTCAGCCAGATGCGGTGAAACACGGTCGAAGATGTTGGTACCACATGGTCCTTGAGTGTCACCAGAAAACATCGGCATGGGATGTCGATTCATTAAACGAATGTGTCTGTAATAAGTTTAAATCGATTAAACCCAAATTATCTTCTAAGCCTGTTCAATACAGTTCCGCACGTCTAACTTTTATAGATTTCATAGATAAAGAAACCTGCATACAATCCTTCAGCCAATCAGGATTTAAGATTTAAGATTTAACTTGTCGAACTACCTTGCTAAAAAGAACTGAATCCATGCTCATCCTGTATTGCAATTGATTGTACTGAAAGACTGGCGACCTTTGGCTAAACATATCGAGTGGCGAGAGTGGTCTAAGTTAAATTATACGTGAAAGTGTTCGCTGTGATTGCGGGGTCATATCCACTCAGTCTGGGTTTTTGTTTTTCGTAGAGTGAGCAACGTTTGGCCTAAAAAGCGGTGTTGATTTTTCCCCTTGGGACTTCCGTCGAATAAATGTATGTTTGAGGGTAGATATTCATAAAGTAGAAAAAATGGTGCCAATGTTTTAATTTTTTATGGGATAATATGTTTAGGTACTCGTCGGTGCGTGAACAGAGATGACAAGGTGCGAGATTCACCAAAAAGATGTCACTGTTTAACACTTGCAGGCAGAAACAGTTACTCAACAGCTACATAGCATCATTAGAATGACCCCGTTTGGGAAGTAAAGTTTTCACTTGAGTATTTCCGTAGAGCCACCATGAACAAATAATCATTTCAATGATGAAAAATGAGGCGTTAGTTAAGAGTTGCCCGGTGGCAAATATACTCTCTGTGGTGTTTGAAGTCAGAAGATCTGGGAACAGCTATCAGGGTGTTACTTGCGATAAGACATAATGATCACAAGCAACCACACACCAGCCCGAAGCGTTTCATAACTTGCAATTTTTTTGTGTGAGAACCAAGCTGCCAGCTGTGTACGCATTAGCAGCCTGTGTCGTGAGACTATTGCAGCCCTGACACAATCAATGTCGGCACTAAAGCGGGTTTCAGTGAGATCTGAGCTAATATTTCATCAAGTGTCTTAGTGAGCGTCTTCTGTGAGAACTGACTTTGGCCTTGTGACGGCAGTGCGCAATCTCTAGTCACCATCATTTAGATATGTCTAAATGGGTCCAGTTGGTATCGCATTCGATCCTCTCCACGCAGATTACCGCTTATAACTATTCGCTAACCATCACGTATACCACTCACAAGGTGGTAGCTAACTTGTGAGTAGTTTCCTTTATGAAAATATACTGTGATATCCCGAATATCGCACCAAATGAAACATGAGGAGGCCTTCGTGGAACGCATTCAGTAAAAGACTATCATAAACGAGAGTCTTTCGTGGAACCTCAGTTGATATGCAAATGAGTGTATTTATCTTTATTCACCAACGGTGTACATCTGATTCAGACCGATGCACGGATGGACTGTTCTCCAGGTTAAGTTTGGCTGCTTTTTATCGCAATAGGAAATCATGTAAAACAACATGTGACTGTCACATGCACATCCCACTTGATTGCACGAAGCAATAAACTTTACTCACAAGCCGATGAAATTGTGGAGCTGTGTGATCTGAAATAAAGTCCCCCCGCAACCCACGTTAGAGTGCTCGGTTAAAATACACTAGAACATGCTGGCAGAAGCATAGCGGCTCTTCACTAAAGAGATTTAAGTAAAATACTTACTTGATGACGTTAAGGGTCACTTGCCAGTGTTGGGAACCTATGCTATTGGTCCTAAATGCACACACAATTTAGTGCACACAGTACACTAAATTGGACGACGCAATCCTACGGGATTTGAACATATCCTTCCTCGTTACTGGTGCACAAGGGGCAATCTGGGACCTGGTCACGTGAACCTTGTGGCACACCAAAACACGTTCACCATTATCTTCAACAGATCGTCCCAACTCAGCTTACCGTACACTCCGGAGTCATACATCCAAACTGTGCTTAGCAGAATAAAGCGTAAGCCAAAGCACATCTACAAAACTGTATTATCCTATCCTCTGTGTGAGCCTTAGAGCTGCTTCCGAACCAGACGGATGGGCATTGAATACAATGACCCTAGATTTATCATATTAGTCAAGTCAATTCACGAAAGAGAAACTGGAACAACAAGATCCTGGATATTCAACCTCAGAGGTAGTGCTCTATCCAATAAATTGAAAGAGGGCGTGTAGCTACCCGGTCACCCACATACTTGACTGTTCATCTCACAGTCGCTCACTGGATCACGAGACTTGTTTTTTTCATACTCAAAAACCAAGTCCTATTAGGCTGACGCATCGGACATCGATTGTATCGCCTAGTCAGTGTAGCAACTACTCATGCGCTCACGCGCCCACGTACGCGCAAACGGACCGACATATAGGGAAACCGAACCAGTCGGCAAACACAGACTCGCGCGCGCAGGGAGCGCAAGCGCAGGGAGCAGGAAGAACCACTCTTCACAAGTCCACGGACAACTACGGAACACGTGTAGCAGTCGCACTGCGGAGAAAACACGTTCCCGCCGTCCGGACTTTTACCAAGGGACTCTCACAGATGATAAGTTCCTTTTTTGACTTGCTCCCATTTCGCATTGTATTTATTTTTATACGTATTGCAACCCACCACTGTCAACCTTGCTAAAAACTTCTATTATTTCATACATCTTCTGATTTGTATTATGGCCATCATCGGAAGTGCACTAATAGGCGTTATCGAAGTTATCTAGTCAACCGAGTTCAGCTCACACCATTACTCGTAGAATCGGAAACCGTGATCTTGTTCCCGGACACTGTATCTTTTAGGTATGCAAGCATATATTTCACAGCAAGATAGATTGACAACAGTCTTCACTAAGGTATCCAGGGCATCATAAAAAATTGTCTTTGACGGTGTCAGAGCTGCAGTTGGTTGGGGGCGTAAGCAGTCACCACAAGCGGACGGCGGCAAACAAACCGAACAGAGGCGACTATCAATGGGTATTTAGTCAGACAAGGATTCTTCCAGGCGGTGATTTAGAGCCATGCCAACCCTTGCACATCCCGCCGCAGCAACCTCTGGATCCCCAGATCAGCTCAATCTTTAGCTTCTTGAATTACGAACTGTTCGTGCTTCGAACCCGACCTCTGCATCTCGACTTCCCCTCTCCAGCGTTAGACAACCTGGCAGTATCCCAGCCCTCGTGTTTCCCTTGGGTGGCGTGGCAGTTTGGTACCCAAAGGGTGCTGTAGCTGAAGTGTGTGACGTCTGATATGGCATGGGTTTATTCGTATATGTGCAGTTCACGGTAGTACATGGGCTGGGATACTGCCAGGGCGCCCACACCTAGACAGGAGGACGATTAGGGTCCTCAACCAAAGCCTTTGGCTCAAAAGCCTGACCGCAAGGTAGGGGTGTTTGGCGGGAAATGTAAGTACATTTCAATTTTAACAGAACAAGTTGCCATACCTGTTCCAACCTCCAACCTGGAGGACGTATTACTGTCGTCCGCGGAATTCACATCTCCAAGGCGGAAATCAGCCTGTTGATTACTTTTGTGTTAACCCTGACTATCCAAATGATTGGGAACTACACATTTAACCCAATCCCATTGAAAGAACTCGAATGCAGTTGAATTTTTCGTGTGTAGGCCCGTAGTGACCTCAGTCGAAGCGGGATTGTTTTTTATCCTGGCCCGGATTTTTAGTCTCAAGGCTTGGTGTGGCCCGGTTACTTGGTATTATGGCCTCAGCCTAGAAAGTGGCTTTGCCATGCACTTTTTTCGAACCCACGCACGTGCTCGTGCAAACCCGGCTGTCGGACAGACGGACATCCAACCGGAACAGAGACGATCAATGAACTGAATGGCGATTGGTCAATGGTAGAACATTGGACATACCACAGGCCAAACGGACGTAGCGGAGCTCCGTTCCCATGCCGTGGAATGTATGCGCCATGCTGATTGGCTGGTTATAATTAGTGACCTAGAGCTAAATACGCGACTGCTTATCGTCGTACCCACACGCGATAAAGCGCTGGCGGACTGCTGCTCTGGCGACCCACACTATGAGTGCTGCGCCCGACTGGAAAGCCGATTTGGCAGCGAAGCGCAGGCAGCGTGAACGGGAGACTGATGTTGAACGACGGTGGCAAGATGTGATGGATAAAAACGGTGAAGGGGCACCAGAATGGCTGAAGGAGGCTGCAATGAAAAAGAAGGCCATGCAGAAACAAGATGATGGTCTGGTTCCTTGGATGCGGGAAGTGAAGCGAACCAACAAGGATCTGGCGAGAAAAATTGCAGAAGTCCATCAAGCAGAAAAGGAAGCCGCGGAAGTAACTGCTGCGCAACAGCCACCGATTACAGCTAAAGAAACTACCATACAATCGTCCTAACGACTTTGGATTAATACCTCACCCCGTCTGCCCCAAACATCAAACACGGACTAATATCAAATCCCATAGTCTTATATCTGGTGAGCAATCCATTTACTTCTCCGTTTTTTTTTGTTACTTTGAAAGCATCGCTTTTTCTACTGTGATTACCATTTTCGGAAGACGACAACTCGAACTCTGTTTACCCATATATTAAGTTTGTATTACTTTCCGATCAGCGCTGGTCATCGTCCCCCCCCCTCAAGTAAGCTATGACAACATCACTTATTTTCGTCTGATGTCTATTATTTATTTGTATATATCTAATTAAAACCTGTCGAAACATCGTTCTCCTTTCGGTGGCTCTGGATAGGGCTATCAGATCAGGGTATACCAACATCCCGATCCTTGGAAATAAAAATTTTTCTTGAACCTTACGCCCATCTGTTCTTTGTTCCGGTGTGGGTGTGTAGCCTCTTCCTTAATTCTGGAGTTTCTCATCGAACAGAATTCAAAACTTGGCACCTTAGTCGCACCGAACATTCGGTAATTGTAGCCGGGTTTGACTTACTTTCACTATTTAGCGTAATCACGGTCCAGCTAAATGACATTTGATAGACCAACCAAGAGGAATACATGTACTGTCCCTGTAATAAATATGATTTCGGGTCATCTAAACCAATAAATGTTCCAAGTTATTGCATAGTTGGTGATCTGTTTCAATCTTATCCAAAGCTTTGAAAACTTGCAATTGTATGCAGGAATTCGAAAACAGACACCACCAAAGAACGGGTGTATTATTGGTGTTTCTAGGCTGGCTGCTCTACTTTCGGACACATGCACAAATAGTGTTTTTTGCGTAATTGCGCTTTTATTCCTTGCCAAGTCGCTGATACACATATCCTTTCGGACAATTTCATAAAGTCCGGGATTGTTTTGACTGAAAAGCAATCCTTTTAGCTCCAAGAACCACGTTCCACAATTGCATTCCGGTGGAACTCCACCTGAGGATCATTTGAAAGAACGCCGATTGCGATGGATAATTTTTTTGGAATTATATAACCGCACTGCGGGATGATGAGTTTTCAGTATGTTAATCAAAGAAATCACATCTGTGTTGGGAAGCGTTTTACTCTAACTCAGACAGACAAACTGGTTTGTTACGGATGTGCCTGATGGTTGTGAACTACCCTGAGAATCACCGTGAAAGAACAATCGAATCAACCACATGACCAGTGGATCCAACCATTCATGGGACTATGTATGTTTTGGACCGCCGATGTGTTGAATGGTTCGTTTATCATCACGACGTGCAAAACTGCTGGTGGAGTTAAATTTGTCGTCCAATGTATGAAAAACGTTGAAATGTCACCGGATTCATCGCCCTCCGAACTTAAAGAACTGTCAAGACATATGGGGCCCGCATAGTGGTAAATGACATAAATGCGGTCTTTGGATCACAAACTGTTTTTATAAATTGAACTGTTGGCTTCAGTCTCAGACGTTTCGGTGACAAAAAATCACATTTACCAAAATGGCTAAAACCAAGTAAACATCCATAAAACCTTTGTTGTTACGTTCTACTTGTTTTGCCAACTGGGTCATCCTATCTCGGGACCTGTCACGTTCATGATGGCCACTTCCTAAAGAAGGTCATTGGTACCGGAACACATGCTGTATCTTCAAAAAGGTGATTTGGACGCTGGTGGTTCACCAATTTCTAGCTTAGGGTCAGTCCATGAATCGGAGCCCCTATCAAATCCCAGAGAAAATTTTCTTTGGGCAAAGTAACAGTTGTAAATTTCACGTCACCTGACAACTGACCTCCCTGTTAGAGCATAACTCCTCCAATAATTAGGAGCTCAACCCATTCTCTGCAAGATGCAAACTCATTTGAACGAAACGCCATTAGTGACCTATTACACATATGTGACATGTCATTGCCTTACAAATGCCGTTCACGGCTTGTATCGGGAAAGCTGGCGATCCAGGAGGGAGACAAGTTGGGCTTGGACCCTTACTCCTCTGATGAAGGTTAATTCTGTTGCGAACCTCATATTCGGTTTGAACTCAACACTGAGAAGTGTTCGCATTGTTTGCTGCCGAGTTGGGTCAGTTTTCATTCTGTAAAGATCGATATTCATATTTTGAATCATTCGTCGGTGGCAGTCGAAAAAAATCGTGGTCAAAACACGCCTCTTTGAATTCCTAGCCGCGATCACAAATAGTAAGTCGATTGTTTCTCTTGTGCTACACCTTAGCTCGAATATTGATAGTATGACAGTCTGGAGTAATTGAAGGGGCACTGCGTCTTGGAACTCAAAATCCAGATTTATTGATGTGTTACCTAGTGAAACCTTCCACAGGTATCTCGAAAGAAAACGATATTGCTAAGATCGGGTGCATAGAAAACCTTCTAGGGCCTGTTTAGGAGACAATTCGGGTAGATTGGCTAAGGGAAGTCATTTATCGGGGCTGTGAATACGAAGTGTTTGGTGACCGGGGAAACCGATTCTTCACTCAAAGCACTTAACGCGTTTGTTGCATCACGATTCCGCTGATCATTTTTTCAGACGTGGAATCTTCGAACTTGCAGTATTTAAAATATAAATATTAAGTTTTTCCGATTAGAATTGTTAGGTGTGCCGATAGGAAACCGTATCCCTGCTATTGGCAATATTGGTATGTTTGCCGCTTTCAACTGCAACAACACACCTGCCTGGCAACAACCAGGGCAAACTGTGATCGACATGTCATGCCAGACGAAATGCGCACCCCCTATCCAACACTTAGCTGTGTCCTTCTGTAGCCCTGTTGTCAAGATAAGGTTGTGGTGATTGACGGCAGAATGAAGGAAAACGGAATTCGGTGCAAAATTGGCTTTTGTATCTTTGTTTTACTCTCCCAGCGTCATCAGATGATATATTCGAATGTTTTTCGGTATGTTCCAGCGTGTCAATTGAAAGTTATCCACTAAAATTAATTGCTACTACTTCAGATAAAAATGAAATGCACTCAAAATGGCCGGAGTCTAGAACACCCAATGGACATTAGTCCAGCTTATCTGAAGTGGTCAACACGGCAGACTGCAGGCAGCCGCAAACCATATTGATCTTGAAGCTACAGAAACTTGACGGGGCAAATTTCCACCTACCGACATTGGCGAACAACTGCAGCTCCCGGTCAGCTTCGAATGGTTCAGTGCTCATTGTTTTCCGAGGGTGACCACCTGTGGAGGTGGTGTTTTTCCTGATAATGACTAAATGGTGTCCGCCCACTACCATTTTGTACAATCCACCATTCAGTAAGCGAATGACTTGCTGATCATTGGTTTCATTTTGGTAGTTTGATAAAACCGCGTGGCACATGAGGACTAGCCAAATAACTTAAGCCATCAGTTGGAATTCCCCGAAATTCAATTTACTCTATGGAACAGCTTCCTTGTAATGCAGCCGTCATCGGAACTTGCTTACACTGACTGCTCTACACTTACTAAATCTCCATCTGCTCGTCCCAAATTCGTGCGGACACTAGTTTATCAGAAACTTCAAGATTATTTGCAAGCAGTTAGTCTGCTATTTCATATGGTCAAATGCTTCCCTAAGTATGCCTTCGTTTTTCGGAAAGCTCAGCAACGCAGTGCTTTTCCTTCTTGTCAGGTGCTATCAGGTGAGCGTAGATAAGACTGGTCACGTGATACCGTGGTCAACAGCCTCAGGCCGTTGACCTCAGAATGATGTACCTGCCACCTGGTTCGGTCGACCGATGAATGTTAATTAGAAAATGTGATTGCTGCTGTTAACCGATCAAGAGTATACGCACATGATGAGTGTCGGTCAAATCGAAAAGGGTTGTATGGTTGAGCCATTCGGAAAACGTCTCGAACTTTGCCAAAACATACTGTTATTTGAGCCCCTTATCCGCTAACAGTATGATGGCTTGCGCGCAGTCAAAGCGTTAGACTAGTAAACTATGGTAAGGGGTGTCTGTCGAAGCGTATGGTGCTATCTCCTTGTACGGCCTCGAAAAAGCAAAGCGCACTTGGCTATACGAGAGATCGGGAAGAACAGCTGACCGCGTGGGCAGTTATGAGTTCCTACCATTAGACAATCAGCCTTTCCAGGATGCGTCGGTAGGCAGAGTTCACAATGGGAAGAATGAATGAAGCCCAAAGCAATGTTTAATTGAATGTATTAGAACACCATAGGGTGTTCTGATATTGTGGATCACTTCGCACTAGAATGCATGTCACGAAACCTTACTAGAACGGACGCTTGGGAGGACTGTAAACTAGCCTGTTACAACGGTATGTTCGCCACACAAAGAGTGAGTTTGAAACGACTTGATTGTTTATATAAACTAGCTCTGCTTAAAAGGCACTCGATAAAACTCGTTTGTTTTTCAAGTGTCTGCCATTTGATGTATGGTATACAAAACACCAGTAAGGTCACATGTTTTGTCCTGAAGAGTGCACTGGCTAATCTATCGAGGTGGGGCGCAGAACAAACTCTACCCCAAACTCCAAGGTGATATGAATTGGAATTCAACGAGAACAGCAGTTGACCATTTTGTAAGTACCTCCTATAAATGGCAAGCTCCGAGGGAAGCACTACACTATTGTACTTGTCCAGCGAATCCTCAGAGGTCTTCTGCATTTCAACCACACGAACTCGAGGGAGCGGTCTTGGTGGCTAGAATTCATCTGAAGCACAGAATGAAATTAGTGAGAAGTCGTACCTTATTCGGTCAAGAACGGAAAGCGGGGACATTCAGTGATAGGTCCAGTCGGTTCCATATGCCACTGATACGGTACAGAAAGTGACAATGGGGGACTTTATGTGGATCCCATTTCAAGCGTGGATAAACGTTATGAAGTTAAAACACACCGAGAAGCTATGGTCACTTTTACAAAATGACATTTTGTCGACACCTTCCAGTCTGCATAATTGATTGACGCAAAACCAAAGTGCTGTTGAACTAATACCCACCAACAAGTTGCTTTCTGTTTAGTTCGTGTTTATGCTTCGAAACACCCCATGTTGTACGCTTTGATATGTATGTGACAGATTCCGTCACTTTGATTGTACTTCACTACAGTCGTACAATCAAGCATTTTTTAATCCAGCGTTTTCCGATCAATCAACCGGACGAGTATTACTTCAGATGATGATCACTATGGTGGGAAGTGCACTGTGATTGTGTGTGTTCTAATACCGTTTTTAGCGACTGAGTATCGGAGAACTGTCTGAAGGAAAACGGATAGTGTCCATAAGATGCGTCACAGGGTTACATGTGTGTTGCTGTCAATTCCAGCTCCTCGGTAACCCTTTTTTCCGGTAACGACCAATTTGCCCCTTCATACTGAGAAGGGTCAATAATGCGATCAACAATGCACAACCACTAACTCACCACTACGCTCTCCAATAACGCACTGATGGTGTCACCTCGATTGGTGATGAAACGTTTGCAATCAAATCGCCTAGCTCAGCGAACAAGCCAACGACCATCTACGCTACCTGAGCTACCGACATTTTCCTCTATAAAAAATGTGGTCAACTTTTAATGGGGCATGATCCTCCCACACGTAGAATGCATGGTCCTATCATAATGCGACTGCAGCTTTTACAACTTCTATCGACCGAACTTCTGGGGAGGTAACGCGGCACCTCTGATTCTGACATGTTTTTCTAAAACTAGCTTAATGAAACTGCCTTCAGGCGGCATTACGAATGCTCCAGGGTGAGATCCAGGCATGAGACCAATTGGCACAACTAAGACCGAAACCCAGTAGCCTGAACATAGATAGGTATGTTTGTCTTCCTGTCTAACTGGGTAACAGTTACAGCGACCGTTTTCCTGTACGGAACCAATGGGAAGGAGATGAGGAAGATTGAATCGGAACCAAAGTGCACAAAGCGTAAACGAAGACCAACCCCTCTGGACAGGACTTGAACATGCAAAACCCTTCGCTTACCTGATGAATGCTTTCGCAGACGACTACACATCCTACCCTAGACCGCACAAGTGTTTCTTAATTCTCAAAACAAACTCCTCTGTTAGGGCAATATTCTGATTTCCCTGACGTTTTTCGTTCTTGTAGACAGACCATCCTTGATTGTGAAAATGTTGAATCAACTGTGTTGCTAAGGTTGACTTGCAAACTCCGTTACTTTACACGATCGAGGAACAATCCAGATCATCCAAGGTCTTACACAGCTTCAACATTCAACCGAGAGAGTAAATCAAGCCGAATACAGATTGTGTAACACACCCGCAGTTGGAAATCACGAAACTAGTCGACAGCAGAAAAGCTAAGCATTGATGTAACTGATGATCAAATAGGACACTTACCGGCATAGTATGCCTCACTTCGTTGTCTAGCAGAAAGGTATACTCATTAACTGTGCTATTTCGCGCGCTTTTAGACACTACTGATTGCCTTGACACACTGGAGGCCTAATCCAATCCTACACGGACTTCACCGAGACGCTGATCCGATTATCTATCGTAGGTCACTTGTTTCAGGGCGCATCGTCCGGATCACACACGTGTGGCGCATCACAATGACCAACTCTCATTAGCTGGTCACTATTTCACTAAAGTACACACACTTCAGGTGACCTCTGTCTTAGACAACACAAACCTGAGTCTAGACGCTGGGGTGAGACCAAAATATCCCCGTGTACTTCAACGGGTTAGAGGCACAGGGTCCACCTTTGCCTGTCTTCCGAACGGCCGAAGCGCAGTTGAACTTAGTCAACCCCTGGTGTGGAATGAAGCGCAATCTGATTGGCTGCAACGTCACGAGCAAATGGCACGATTCCAATGAATTGAGACCGATCGCCGTCTGCACTCCTCATTGGCTGCCCTTCGGTAGTTGGCCAAAGGTCACGGCGTCGTCCATGTGGAACCTGATCACATTTTCGGTCAGCTACCTGAATGCATGTGATCCGATATGATTGATCCTCAACAAAGGAACCTCGAAACAGCCGACAAAGAGCAACAAAATCAAAGGGAAAACGATGTCCAACTGCGCTGGCAAGAAGTGATTGATAAGGGTGGAGAAGGGGCTCCGGAGTGGATGAAAGAAGCGGCCGCAAGGAGAAAGGCAGCACAAGAAAAGGAATCCACACTTGCACCATGGATAAAAGAACTCAAATTGAAGAATAAGGACTTAGCACGCAAGGCTGGACATTTGTAACAAGTTACGTGACGGAGGACCGCGTCGCAGTTGATTCTCGAACGTCTATAGTATCACTTTCTATGCGTAACGTGGGAATATTTCTACTTTTTCAAATTTCACCCGTTCAAGGTGCGTTTAACTTTGTGCGGATACTATCTATTCAGCTAGTGTCCAAAAAACTAGACTACGCAAAACGTCTTTTAACAGCTTCACTTTGTACATTTTGGTTTTTCATCAATCGAATGGGATAGTATATGAAGCTTGTTCATTCCGATCTCATGGACCTAAATCACTCAACGAATCGTATTTTCTTAGATTTACTTTACAGCGTCATTTTCGTTACAAAGAAGAAACGTAACTCGGCTTTGTACACTCAGAGTAATCCCAGGAATCTCTCATTAGCTTTATATTTTGTTGGAGAACTGATTTCTGACGCGAATACCGTACAGTTATTCACATTCCGGCTATGAGAGCTTATGCTTAGGCATGCAATCAAACGTGGTTGCATTGGGGGGCCACTTTTTCTGGCCTTCCCATAGGATCGAAAGCAGATAGTAACTGACTCGGCAAGGCTGGGACAGGCCCTGGTTAAGGAACTCGGAGAGGACGCAGACCGGGTTAGGGATCTGTCGAGGATAACCCTCTGCCTAGACGACCATTTTGTCATCACGAGAAACTCCCACTGCAACCCTTAACCTCCTCGATCAAACCGAACCGCGAAGCGATGCGGAGCTGTGGCCTGGGTCTCAAAAGCCTCAAGATGAAACGTTGCAATAGAAACTGCGGCTACTACTGACGCACATCAGCTAGTCTATTGACGCCAAAAATGTGCTTGTGCTGGGCAACGTCTCACTTTTGACACAAAATCTTCATCAGGTCAAGTGACTAAGTTACCAGGTTGGTCGAGAATTTAGGCGGAAGGAGAACCAATCAGGTGTGACTGTCATGTTGGTCCCATTTGTTAAAAAAATCGGGTTTGGGCAGGAATTTGGCGGAGAAACGGGAAAAACTTCAGTGAGCAAATCACTATCAGTAAGTTTCCGAGTGAGCATCGCCTCAAAATTATGTTGTTTCCACAATGAAATTTCAAAGTTTAGGCGCGGATAGACGCAAAGATCATGAAACACGCCCAACACTGGCCACACTGGGTCTAGCATGCGCCTGTTACTTCTATCTCGTCGGATCACGTAATCCTTGTTTGCTGAATTTCCAAGACATCAAATGGTTGAATCCGGTTAGGTTTCGAGCATTCGGTTAAGCTCAGGCTAATCCGATCACGAACAATCAGATGCCGCCTGATGCACGAATCAATATGGTCATGTGACTGCAGCTAGTTAAATTAGTCTTATTGCACATGGTTTGATTTGCATGACCCGTGGTTCGATTCGACCGGCAAAGTTCATCGTGACCTTGGTAGTTAGAGATTTCGCAAGTTGTTCAAAGTACTTGTGTCTAACTTATTAGAGCAATAAAATTCATCTTGAGAGTCCACTCTCCTCATAAGAAACACCAATCGGAAGCATTTATACTTGTTCTTATGTCGAAGTACTGCCTGGTATGTGGTGAGAACAGAAACGCAGCCAAAAGAAACACGAGGCGATAAAGCACTAATTTCTAATGTACATAAGGCTGTAGGACAATTTCAAGCACAGTCACGACCACCGGATTCAATACAAACTCTGCATTTTCAGAAACAACTGAGTTGTGTAAATTAAACCTTTCCTCAAGTACGATGACCTGCTAATTATCGATGTGTTCGGAGCATTGTCCGAATCTGGTGGGAACACCGGATCAGCAATGCTGAAGTTCGTCGAATGGTATTCGAGAGAAATAACTCACCCTCGATAGATGAACTCATCACACTGCATAAGTAGCGCTGGCTTGACCACGTGCTGCGCATGCCAGTCGACCGACGTCCTCGAAGGGCTCTTTTCGCACAACCACGTGAAGGGTAGAAGAGAGCCAGAGGCGGTCAAACAATGACTTGGCAGCGAAGTGTGAGAGCTATTACCAGCAAACTCAGCTGCGCTGGTCATTGCCGTCTTCCTGGATGGAGAGCTCGAGACGGGCCATATCAATGGTTAGAGACATTGTCAGACATGGTCCAGTCGCGCCCTCAATGGCGCTCGTGCATCCAAGCTATTGCATTCAATGCATAGCTTCCTTCCCAATCCCCCCATTTGAGAGTCCGCGTACAGTGTTGTATTTACGCACAAATTTATCAGCTCCCGTCTCCGATGCGCAGCTACCTACCCCACCTCCCCGAATTATCGGTGGACGAAACTGTGGCAGCTACACCAACTGTACGGCAGCTACGCGGTTATTACAGCTGACGATGATGATGATGGCTTATCGCAAGTGGTAGGAAATGACCCGTTTTCTTGAATGAAACATCCTCTGTTTGTCAATGTGGCTTTAAGTTCGCTACCTATTGAAACGAGAGCTGCACCTAACATGGGTTACAAAGCTGTGCACAAAGACTCGTACATCGCTAAGACAAGCAATCTTGATATCTTCAGGAAGAATTGCCATCAGAGAATATAACCCCAACTCGCAACGTCAGTCCAACATCTGTATCCATCTACAGGCTAACAGTCACCCACAGTGTCTTGGTTCGTCCTTGGACAGATAGAACTCACCTCATTTTACTTCAACTAGGAAGCAAAATGAAGTCAAGGTGGCGATAGAAAATCGAGCTCCATTGATTATGGTTGGTTGGATGTGGAACCGTTTCCAGTCCGAGTACATAAATATCTTGTTGAGAGGTTACGACGACCCAATATTTGCTTGGTCATAACAATATTCAAGTGATGTTTTTCAGGAACAAAATGTTCTATTCACAATATGGAAAAGTTGGGATTCTCTCACTCCATTTGCATCATTTGAGATATATCTTACCTGGAGCTTCCGTAACTGAGTTTAAAAACAGTGAAAAGAGCAAGAGAGTATGCTGTTCTACAAAAAGACGAGTACCTGGAGGGGAAGATTTGAAGTCCGCAACATTATCGCTTGATGGCTGGTGTCAAACTTAGCGTTTGGCATCCCTAAAGACTAATATGCAAAGTGAGGTGTTATCGTTCTCTGAGTTGTTACGAGACAAACGCATCTGTTCAACTTTTTGTCGTTTTTATGATGCTGAAAACTTGTTTATTGGCTCCTTATATCCTTCTTGTTCAGCTGTCTCTAGATGTTTGTTCTTTGGTATTGAGTAAGTTGAGGAAGCGGCTCCCTTGTGATAGAATCCTCTAACAAGGTGAACTGTGATTTCAAGCACCGAAAACTTGGTGACCTTATTGATCAAAACTCTTAACCTGCTTCGAATCCTGAAGACCCACAGTCAGTAGAAAAAGAAGCAATCTAAACCCAGGCTCACGTCTACGAACCAACCAAAATATGTGGTTCAGGTATTCAACTATATGGATGGTAAAGATAGTTTGGTATTGGGGACTTAGAAACATCCTTGAGCAAACTCAGAAATCTGTAAAGCTTATCTGACGTTAGGTTGCCTGTCAAAGGTTGGAAAGAAAACATCGTGCTACACCCCCTCCTAATGTATATGGAAAAAAAACGGTGTTTTGAGTGGAGGATAACAGGGAATTTTCAGTCTTTCATCATTGGTATCTGTTTCCAGTATAAACATCGATAGCAGTGAAGTATTTTGGATGAATTCCTACGGGAGTAACTCTACCCCCCCTCTAATGTATATGGAAAAAAACGGTGTTTTGAGTGGAGGATAACAGGGAATTTTCAGTCTTTCATCATTGGTATCTGTTTCCAGTATAAACATCGATAGCAGTGAAGTATTTTGGATGAATTCCTACGGGAGTAACTCACCAAAGACGGACGCACTGGCAACCCGCGATGAATGGCGTAGTCCCCTCTTTCACAAAAAGCACCATTTGCCAACACATGTGTTTAACTGAAGCGGTACAAGGACGGTCAGAAAACGCCCTTGCAACAAAATACGAGTGCCTTAATTAGCCAGTTGCTTCCCATGGGTTACGAGCACAGGATCTCACTAATCAGTAGATAACGGCCGACATGGTCAACTGTAGTATTCTATCAAAAACTTCGTCTTCAGTGGGAAGTTCTTCCTTTCAGGTTTCATTCTTCAGCTACGACGAAAGATGGCATATTTCGCTTTATTGTGCAACTGTCCTCTCTTTCATCCTCTGGTATCGATAAATAGACCTACGTCAGCTGGAAACTCTTCATTTTTAGGCTGCTGTTAGCCGAACAGCTGAAGCAACTGACCAAGTTCTGAGGGCAACCAACCTTCCGGTCTCCGTAACGACTGAACCAATGGAATCAAGCCCTGGGACCGAGTAATTACAGCCACCGTTTTTTATAAGATCAGTATTTTTGCTAGGTGTCAGGCGAATTTGTGGTACTAGTTCGTCAGTGGAATTGCTCTAGTGGTGGAGCGTCAGCCACCGGTATAAGTGCATTACCCTTCCAGCAACCCCATATCACAGAACGCAATCTCAGCCAAAAGTTGACAACTCCACAGCGACCGCTATTGGAATGGTTTGTCAACGATGTCGATCCAATTAGTGGCTATAACGTGCCACTTTTCCTCGAATGATCAGTCTGTGAAAGTTTACGTACCTACTTTCATTTTGGGGGAAAGTACTGCTTCTTGGAAGAAGCCGCTGTCAAGAGCACGTTGGCTATAGAAGACTTCTATTTTTGCTCACATTAGGTTAGTTGGGTGCCTTCGCCGTATCATAAACTAGTTGGTATGACGTGTAGGCGGTAAGAAACCTTTTTCACTACAAACCAAAGTGACTGACTGTTATCAGAACGGTTACAAAACTCTAGTCTGCTGTTGCCTTGTTACTCAAACCGTCAACCGGTCTGATTGGACCAGATCACCACACACACATATGTACACACAAAGTCAGTCCTGTGTATCTTTGTAATGCACTACTCATAAGGTTGCTTAAGATCCGTCGACAGCTCACGACCGGTTGCGCCCTTTTTGGGGCTCATCAGGTAGACACAGTCCCCGGGTTTCC